TCCGCTCTATTCAGCTGGCTTTGGAAACACACGGCGAGAAGGGGGGGGCTGGTTGGTGAGGGATACGGGGGCGAGAAACGCAAAAGTAACGCAATAGTTACTTTTACTAGTAACTAGTTACTTTTATTGTGGAGTAACTCAGTTAGTAACTCAGTTACTTTTTGGGAGAAGTAACTAATAACTATAACTAATTACTTTTTCAAAGTAACGTGCCCAACACTGTTACAGAGGTACAGTGGGAGTTTACCAAGTATTGCTTTATAGATAAAGATATACCAGTGCTGTTTTCTACGAATTGTTAGTGATGTCCAACCAACTAGATCATAAAGAATGCAGTAATGAGTTAGGGACTTAGAATTTGTAATGAATTGTAATGATGCATGGTACACTGAGTCAATATGACGCAAGATGGAGGATGCAGCATGCATGTACAATATACCTCCATAATCAGTCACAGACAAAAAAGTAGCTTCTACAGGTTTCTTCTTGTAAAAGCTACATGCCCGGCTCGTCTAGAGCTGCATTTCACCTCCTGTTATTAATAGTCTCTAGATAATAATAACATTACTATTTTCATTTAGTGGGAGAATAATAATGAACACAGTCAGATAAACACAAATCAAATGAACATTTTGCCAAATAAAACAAAAAAATCGCCATCAGAGCCGGCGGTACTTCACACACGGCTATGCTGAGAGAGGGCTGCTGCAGATGGGCTGCAGTAAGCCCAGGCTGCCGTTAGCCTCGGAGGTCAGCTAGTTGCGGCAGTCCTCTCAACTTCTGACATTTTTTTTAATTATGCATTATTATTATTTTAATTATTATGCATTAAATCCGTAAATGGACCAAATAGTGACGCTCTAAAGCATAATATTCTCGCATCAAATGATCTTAAAACGACCTTAAAACAACAGAAAAGAGAACCTTTAACTTTGAGTGGAGCGCTCCATTGAAAGCTGCTGCAGTGCATTCTGGGAGAGCTGTCAATCTCAATAACAGACAAGTCTGCTCTGATGCGTGCTTGGTAAATAGGGAGGGGCGAGAACAACAACCGGGGACTTTATCCGTTCTCGGTATGCTGCTCTTGTGAATTGGAACAGTACTAGGGCTGAGGTTGATGATGTTTCACTAGTACATGAGCACATGAGAATGCACAAGTACACATATTGAGAAATTGCCTTTTTTTCACTTTACAATAATTTTTTTTTTTTTTTAAAGAAACAGTTTTGAAAAGTGTGGTATTAATTCTTATTCTGCTTTGTGTGTCAACAGTCATGGTTGCTAAGTGAAAGAGCATATGGTGGTGAAAGCCGCAGAAGGCTAGACCTGTTTGAATTCACAACCATAACTCTTCCAGTGTCCTTATTTTCACAGATTTCGAAGAACCTAGTCCAGGTAGACCCCCATCCTTGGACTACACAACCCATGAATCAAGATTCAGCCTTATGGGTCATGAATGGTTCCAAACAACAGCATTTTGATCATTTATAACAGTTTATTCTCAGTGACTGAATTATTTTCTACAGTAGATGAAACTAGAAAATATTTTACCATTATTTAGCCATAGGTGACCCACTCTGCACCAAAACATATCACAGGTGATATTTGACATGGTCAAACAAAGTAAATTGCTCTTGTTAATCCGCTATTTGCAGTGTAACTGCTGTAAGCATGGTGGACAATATTGGGTTCAAATAGGTCTAATTGCGGCCGTTTCTCAATTCACAAGAACACAAGTACGGACTTGGGTTCTCGCTAAGTATGTTATATATAAGAAATATGGTTTGTGCGAGGTGTTAATTGGTTAACCTGGTAAAACCATCTCTCACAGAGGAGATGGTCTTAGACATAACCTTTAACCCACCTTCAAAGCACTACCAATACCCAGTAGATTCACCTCCCACCCACCCTCACCTAACTCTCACTTCAATGAGGCAAGTGACAGAAACCACTCTGACGAGGGAGTTAACGACCCATCAGCACCCCCTGACGATCTTTAACACCCCCCATGTGACCTCTTTGGCCAATCTAGTGGGAGAGATTTGAGCCACCTTTTGTTCCCCCTAAATCTTTGTTACACCTACAGTATATTAATCTGTGTTTCCTGCCACTAGTTAGAACTGAAGAAGCCTCTTGGATTAGAGGTGAAATGAAAAACTACATGTCCAGTTGTCTAAACTGAATTTGTCAAGCTCATCCTTGTTTTTCATCTCAAAATAACTAAGGGTTAGATTTTAATAACAGAATGACTGTTTCAAGAAGGAGCGTTAACCTCTGTTCAGCTAAAACTATTTACAAAATGTTTTTTTTTTGTTTTGTACTACCTGAATGCTTACATGTATAGTCTAGTAAATGCATAAGAAGGTTGCAATGATTTTCTTATGTTACTAAAAAAAAAAGCTTCCTAAATGTATTTTAACGGAAAGTAATTAATATGGATGTATATCTCTGCTGACTGTGAAAACACTGAATTATCTTCATGAATTAAAAACTTCTTTATATCTATGCACGTGCTGAATTTTGGTAAACTGAGATATATGTGTGGGATAGTTCAAGAAAACATGTAGGTCAGGAAGTGGTTTTAATTTGTCACTGCATAAATGAAGCTGCAGAAGCTTCTTTAAAGTTTGGTGATGAGCATATGATGCATGATGGATGCAATGCAACTACTAATAATTTGGTGGACTGTATTTATTTGCATCTATGGAGAAGATGAAGGTATTTCTTTGTTTAATTTGCCAAAATTAAAAGTTTGTCAAGAGAGCAAGGAGCTGTTGATGATTAGTATTTATTTGATGAGACAACAGCTAAACAGTCGGTTTATGAAAAAGATTTGTCAATCTTTATAATAGGGGAACTAAAAACAAAGTGAATCAGATTTTATTTACAATTTTCTTGTTTTATTAAAAAGGTACAAGTCAGTTGTTGACAAAAAAATGTAACTTGGAAGGACAAAAAAAACCAAAACCTTTTTTTAAATGCAAAAGCTATTTACATGTTTTAAAATATAGTCTGTTTTTGTAATTTAATAAACAAGCACTTGTCACATAAATTAGAATACATTTATTTGAAATGTCGGCTCACTGTTATCAAAAATTACGGCTTTTCCCCTTTCACTGTTCAACAAAATGTAAACGTTGTTTGTACGTAAATAATGTCTTCCTTTCAATGTCTTTGATGGGAAACTGTTCAAACAGAACCAATTATTTATTTATTTTTTATTGTTTTTATTTTTATTAAAAAATATAATATTTTTTAAAGATTTGTAGGTGATAAAACTATATCAGTATTGCTTGTGCGTTGGTACTGACACAGGGTGGTTGTTAGCACTTGTTCTGTAGCATGAGGTTCACAATTTTTTTAAATGGCTTTTAGGACATGTTGTATGATTAAAGGTGAATTAATTACCTGTCCTATTAAGACTTTAGGAGTTCTTAATTCCATGTTTGGCCTTTTTTTTAAATCTTCAGTTCAATTAAAAATACTTTGTTAATCCCAACAGAAATTAAAATGTTGCAGTAGCTCATAGGAGATTTGTTTTCTTTTTCATTAAGTTGTTGAAGGTCTGGTGTTGATAGATGTAAGCAGGAAGGATATTCTATAGCGGTCTGTCTTATACCCGATCTGGAAAAGCCTTTTACTGAAGGCAATCTATTGTGTAAAAATCTTTGTAAGTGGATGCTAACTGCTGTCCATGATCTTCTTCACTTTGTGAAGAATTATTCTTTATGAAATAGTCTCCAGAGGATCCAGAGGAGTTCCTAGAACAGAGCGGACCTTCTTTATCAGCTTGTTGAGTTTTTTTCAGTCATTTGCTCTGATGATGTTATTGCAGTAGATGATGGAGGAAGAGATCACATTCTCCAGAATAGACTTATAGAACATATTTAGCATCTTGTTGCAAACTCCAAAGGACCCAAGCTTCCTTGGGAAGTGCAATCTGCTCTGCGCTTTGTTGTAGACAGCGTTACAGCTGTGTCTGCAGTGTAGTTTATTGTCCGGGTGAACACTAAGGTATTCATACTTCTCAACCACCTCTCTTTCTTCTCCCATGATGTTACAGAATTAAACTATTTCCTGTTTATTCTAGCATGTAAAATAATCTCTGTTGTGTTGTGGGTGTGCAGCATCAGAGGATTGTTTCTACACCATGCCAGAAACAGTTCACCAGCTCCCTTTACTCAGCTTTTTGTCCATCTTTAATGCACCCTATGACTGCAGAGATATCCAAGTATTTCTGCAGGAAACAGGACTCTGTCTGGTACAGGAAGTCAGACATGTACAGAGTAAAAAGGAATGGGGAGAGTGCTGCCCCCTGTGGAGCTCCTGCACTGCTGACTACTTAAGCCGGGTGTGCGCTGTGTGATTTTTTTCACTCGTTGCACGCAGCTACTGCTCACACTGTACGACTAACTGCAGGGTTTAGTCGTACAGTGTGAGCTCACAGCTCACAAATATGTTAGGCCCGACACTCTCATGCGATCTACCTGCTCACATTGTACAACTAAAAACCATGTCAGACTCAGCTCCGCAGTAAGATGGAGCTGCTCAGACTCGTCTATCCGGAAGCCAAACAAATAGAAGTGGAATATTAAGCCCACTAGAGTAAAATGTACTACCTTGACAATTTGTGCAATTTTGTGCTGAAAGCCCTCAAAAGAAAAGGCAATGACGTACTTGGAAAAAAGACACAGCTTAGCAAACATGGCTGCTACGGTCTGTCAATTTTACAGACAGAACTGTTTTTCACTCATTGCATCCCTGCCATGCTGCTGTGTTTACATCTGAGAGGAAGAATAAAAAGAAAAATCCTTGTTTGCGCATGCGCCCTGAGCGATTTGCCCACGACTGTCAGGAGAAAATAAAACATGACACAGTTGCATAGCAAGCAGTGAAATAGAAGGTCTGGAAGTGAAACTAAAATAAATGGTCCCCCTTACAGTGTGAAATCAATGAGTAACCAATCACAAAACACGGTCCGTTGTACACTATTGGTTCATGACACGTCAATAAAGGGTTGTCTGCTTGTCCCTCCCCCCTGTACACATATCCTGAAACATGAACAAATCAATCCCCCAAGGCTTGTGCAAAGTACCATGGCTGGAAGCTAGCCACTGTTAAGCTACGTGCTGCTTTTTGATGCTTGTACAAGTTTAGTTCTGACGTGCGGCTGAAGCATCTTTGCTGCTCTGGCCAGTAGAAAAAGTGGGTCTGATGTCCATTGGACGGAGCTACCCTACCCTTTCTTTGCCTGTAACAATGACAGCTATATTTGCTGTGATCAGTGGGTAAAAATGTCATGTCTGGCTGAACCTTACGGACCCACATGCAGAATCTGGCTCGGACTCGACTGAAGGGAGAAGAGTTTATTGTTAATTCAGCCAACACAGAATGGAGAATAACTGAGAGTCTCTTAGAATACACTGCCACAGGCTGTGCAGGTGGCTGGAGGTGCGCTGAGGGAGGAGACGTTGGTCACGGAGCTGTCACAGAGGTGGTGAAGAGCGGGCAGTCAGACTGAGGCGATCGTCAGAGAGTTTTCACTGGAGCGGTGGAGAGCGGGCAGGCTGACAGAAACTAAGCTGCAGATAGGATCAGCACGCTGAGTTAGACGCAGAAGGGATCCGTCCAGGAGCGCTTCGATAAAACCTGGGAATCCAGAGACACAAGAGGTGAGCTATCAGGAAGCTTTCAACAGGAATCAGATTAAACTTTCTCGAGGGGAATTTCACGAGGGCTAGATTGGTACCAGAATATGGGGACCATCAGGCGTGGAAGAGATGGCTGCAACTCCTTAAATCCCTCTCAGGTGGATGGGTTGATTGGTCTCAGGTGCTCGGACAGCCAGCCACGCCCACCTGCAGTGCTCCAGAAGAAAGAGAGATACACTCCACTCAAGGGTTCTGACAAAAAAGTAGTTTGAATCTATTTTGAAGTGAGAAAGTCCACCTGAAAACATGGTCAGTGCAGTCAGTTCATCCAGATTACCATCTGGCTTCAAATATTATTTCTGCAGCTCAGACCCCCGTACACCGGCGGTGCGCTGTCACTAAAAATCCCATTCAACAGCAGCCTATGGCCTGGTCACCTCTTTGCAGTTTGCCGCGGCGGCTGGAAGGCGTTTTTCATGTATGTAATCCAAACTGCAGGCACCAGGATAATAAAAGCGAACATGTTTTGCCGACAGATTTCTGCATTTTAAGTTAATTTAGGCGTTAAATGGTTTCACAGGTGTGATCATAGCGCTCTGCATGATCAGTGCTGTGTCTGTCTGCCTCCCAGATCAGTGAGGCGCTGCTTCAGCTGTTCTAGACAGGACAGGACCTTTTTCGGTGCGCCGTGATGTGCGTCAACCATTGACTTTGCATGTAAACTAACGTGACGAGATGTTGTTAGCTTGTGTCACGAGACAGCATGCATGTTCATGTGTTTCGAAGGCGTAGTTTCGAGGGGTGGTCTGAAGGGAGAGGCATGGTTGTGTATGTTCAAAAATATAGCTTGCTGGAACCATTTTTCCAAGATCTCCTAAAGCACCTTTAAAAAACATGACCACTGAAATTGCTAGGGGTTCTGTGTTGGGAGGTGTGTGTGTGTGTTTGGTTATATACTGTATGTTGGCCTACAATGAACTGGTAAAGGACTGGTAAAAGATGGATGGATGGATGGATGGATGGATGGATGGATGGATGAATGGATGGATGGATGGATGGATGGATGGATGGATGGATGGATGGATGGATGGATGGATGGATGGATGGATGGATGGATGGATGGATGGATGGATGAATGGATGGATGGATGGATGGATGGATGGATGGATGGATGGATGGATGGATGGATGGATGGATGGATGGATGGAGGAACAAATTCAGTTAAGCATAAGTCACTTAAAAGAAGCTAAGAAAAAAAATAAAGACAAATATTTGGTCCTTGTTTTTTAAATAAGTTTGGGCAATAATATAATTTAAAACGATAAACAACTTTTGGTAAAAATAAACATGATAACATATGTTGTACTGGACAATACTTAAATGACTAAAATCAGTTTTATTTTTTAAAATTACAGGTTCTTCATGTGATGTTACATTCACAGTGCGAAGAGGTACGACGAAACGTGCTATACCTGGACAAAGTTTGACAGTCAGTTGTCCCGTCAAACACTGTGGAAATGTACTAAATATCACATGGTGGAAACTCTCTAATACAAGCAGCTATAAGATCATTCCAAACACGGAGAATATAACCATCAGACAGGAATATCACAAAGATGATCTTATCTCCTATTTGAGTTTTAACCAGGTTACCATTATTGATGACGGCCTGTACCGATGTGCTTTAGAACACAGAGATGAAAGTGTCAGCCATGCCATCAACATCTCTATTTCAGGTATTTATTAATTTCTGTAATACCTCAATTTACCCATAATATTCATGTATTTATGTCACTGTGTTAACCATATCTGCTATCTTTTATATTTTTAAAGACCGAAACATAGGAGTAAAAGACCCAGAAGATGTTGTTGGTGATAAGATTTACAGTCCTCAATAGTAACATTTCACACATGTCATCATACATATATGATAAATATAATTGTTTGTGTGCAGTTGGTTCAAAGACTCGTGGTGATAATGGACCCTGGCTGCCCTACTTCATGATCTGCATTAGCATTGTGCTCCTGGTGATCACAGCAATAATGTTAACCACTGTGTGCTGTTATAGCTGGAGAGGTAAGAATATTTGTTAAACACTGGTTCTTTTATTATTTAAAATAGTTATATCTTTATTTTCATTATCATACATTTTTGGGTACAGGAACATGGACCTACAACAGCAAAAAGGGAGAGGTAATCTTAAGCAAATTTTCAAATGGCTTTTTAGTTATATTGTTTAAGAATGCTGACTATTTCTAGAACAAGACTTAGACAGATTTATTTTGTCATTTTGGTATACAAGCGTGCAAACAAAAAGAAATTTCGGTTAAAATTTAAAATTGAAAACAATGTGAAAAATATGGTAAAAAAAAATCCATCTCTGGAAAGTTGGTACACATAGCTTATCGTTTTGGAATAGCATCAGACAAGATGTAGCCCCTTTACAACAGACTAAGAGTACTCTATGATTGTAAATTCAGCAGATGTTTAATGGTATTTGCACACTATTGGAGGGGTTTAATTATGTGCATCTATAACATGTGATGGAGAATATGACTTCCCTAACTGCTCTGAGTATATGTAAAACCTTCAGTGTAAGGTGGTTGCGGTTTATTGCGTTTAACAGTATAGTGGAGGATGTCCTTTTTCTGGGCGGATCATCAAAATAAGTGGTCCTTCTAATTGTCAATCATTCTGGTGATAAGTTTACATAAGACCCTCCTATGTGTTTGTCCCCATTTTCACTTTACCGTTGGTGAGTCTGAAATAGTGAAAAATTGCAAATCTTTTTTTGGAAAGTAACCTTGTATGCAAACATTAACTTTTAAACAAAGCATGCACGAGGAGAAATGGGCTCCTGCATGCTTTCGCAAGCATTTAAAGCTACAGTGTGTAATAATTACAGGGATATACAGTCAGAAATGTAATATATTATACATAACTATGTTATTTATAATCATCTACGAGCTCAGCTTCTTAACCTTAATATTTGCGTTGCCTTAGAATTCGTTATTTATAATTACATAGGAGCGGGTCTCGCAGCCATGGAG